TCCAATTTCAGCTAAATGTGATGCGGATATTGAATGTTTATCCTTCCGCATTGACGGACTATCTTTCGTCAGTATCGCTTCCTGTCACCCGTACAGAGCCTGAATATTTAAACCTCCGGAAATTGATTTGGTTTTCCAAGACTATCGCATTTCGGATTAACCATATTTCCATGTTTTATTAACTGTTCATAGTTTCAACAGAGTATAAATGCACTGATTAGGGAATCGCTTGTCATATCACACTAAATTATATTAGTAATTTTAGAAGACAAATTGTACATGTTGTGAAAGACGTCTTCCTTATCGACGTTTTGGTAAAGTGTCTCCGATGGTTTGATATGTCTCCAATACGACTATTCAATAGAGCGTCTTAAATCGTTCGATAGTGTCTCCCTCTCCTTTCGGCCGTCAATAAAGTGTTAAATTGCACAAATGGGTTTCAGTAGCATGCTGAAAATACAACAAATGTAAGTAAACCGCAAATTGTTTTGAGAAAAAAAATCACAATTTTCAAAATAAGCGTTAAATGGAGAAAATTAAGGCCTCCTGTGCGCTACCATCCGGGCCAATAAAAGTGATCAGAAAAAAATTGATTGGTAGGTAGACAATTTATGTTTTGTTTTCAAAAATATTTTGACAATTGTTATATAGAGCAGGAGTTCCGACTTTAACAGTGCATATCACTAAATGCTCATAAAAAACCTCAGGCTAGACACAAAATTCTAGGGTAGGTAAGGTTAGTGGAAACACAAGATTTGTTTTTATTTGACCTAAGTTGATGGAACTTGTTTCACAATTACGTTGTAAAATATTTTTTTATGGATGTTAACATCGTAAGCTAAATACTACCTAGTATTTAAATCTTCAACAGGTTTAAAAATATGCATATTTACTCATATACCAGGTATTCAAATAGCAGGTTCGGATTCAATATTCGTCGAAGTAAAGCAAATCCATTACCTTAGGCAATGCATTCCTTACTCGGTTGTTACACCTTTTTTTATAATTATCTTTTTATTCAGATTTTTCATCAATGCAATGTACATGTACAATAAATAGCAAAACATTCACTCATTTGTATACTGGCACATACATACATAAACTTATATCTGTTATTTCCACATTTGTCATAGAGTACATACATTCTCAGGATGATATTTAACCACACTAGCATAAACTTACATACTCATTTCCGTCTATTTTTACATTTTAACATTTTATTACCCATATATATATATGCATCCATCCATGTGTCTTACATATATATGTCTCAACCATTCATTACTATGTCTTGTGTAAAAATAGAACACATATCAACCTTCATCACATATGGTATATATCTTTATGCTGGAAACAATATCTGCACTAAATTATGTATAACCGCACATACTGTATAACTCATGGCCATGTCAAAAACGCCCATGTCCATGCATAAAGATAATTAATATGATTTCACCATACTCACATGCGTTGCACTCACACAAACCCATATGCATGATATGAGACATTTTCAGACATTCCTGTATCTAATAGTACTGATTATTGACATATTAATTTATGCAAAGAGAAGAAATATCAGTCCCACACAAAAAGGTAAATGAGAAATTCGCACAGACTGACTACTGAGTACATTGCATTGTCTTTATAAGAAAGAGGAATTCAGATAGAGATTGAGAAAATAAAAAGAAAGGGAGAACAGAGAACATAAAAAAAGAGAGAAGGGTTGTTACACTTTTTAAACATAAGCTAGGGCGAAATATTTTCCAACCTTAACATTTGTTCCCGTATAAGAGAGACTTACTCAATGCTGAGAGCAATTAACACATAACGTATTCAATGTACATAGACTTAACACACCCGGCTGAAGATCGATTTTGGTTTACGGCACCAATACCTTTCTTTCTCTAAAACATCTTTAATTATACAAAGCCATTGGTTATAAACACGCCGAAAATAATTGAAAAAGACTAAAAATAGAACTGTCTCAGTATGTAGGTAATTGCATTCCTTACCGGGGAGCAAAGGTATTTACGTACGGAGATTTTCGGTGTAATTTTGGATGATAAATTCCCTAACAATTGACGTGGTTTTGCCAGAGCGCTGTATACTTCCTGGTTTAAGATTGAACTGGGAACGTTCAGAAACTTTTTTCTCTGAATGAAAACTGTTTGGAAGAACAAAATCTCTGGATTAATGGAATATTGTCTAGTTCAACGATGGAGCAGAATCAAAACTAGGTTTTGTTTATTCGGCGACGGCAGCGGCGGAGCCAAACAGTAACATTTATATCCTACGTTAAGGTTTTGTTTTTAGGCCACCTCTCAGAGGTAAATAAGGTATTCATTTAAGCATTGAACTGCTTTCAGTTGGCATCCACAGCCAATATGAATTACCATAGGACAACGGCAAACTCAATGAAGCACGTTGGATTTGCTTTCATACAGTTTGAATTCATATTGCCTATGAGTGTCAACTCAAGATAGTTCAAAACTTATTTTAGCCATTTTCGGAATCTGTTAATCTCATTGAAAATTCAATTACACTTATCATTTTACACCATTTAGTTCAAATAATGTACGTATCGTGTATGTTTGTTAAATGAATAGAACAGCCATCGCCTTGGGAGGGTTAGTGGTGTCCAACATAACATTGCGTTCATAGCCACTATGAATGCAAACTGAATTTGGTAGGGTTATATAGTGGCAATGCCATACGATGGTAAATATACCGGGATCGTTGTTACAGATGACACTCTGTATTACATTCTTAGATGCGGATGCTGAGCTTGACTTATATATTTCATGGGTCATTGACTATTGTTAATAGGTTTCCTCCCAAACAAAGACCCCCGCGCGCTAACATCCGGACCAACAAGAGTGATTAATATATGTTGAAATAACTTGTTTCATAATTGTTGTAAAATAAGTAAGCTTATAGATATAATAGGAAATTTTCCATATAACCCGTGTTTGATGTGGTTCCAAAAAGTGCTGGAGAGACTTAACTGGAACGTAACTAAACTCGGAATGCCTTTAAAGGTTTCTTTTGGACTTTGATATTAATTATATTATTTGTTTTAATTTGAATTGATATTGATTTGCTGACAAATTTTCTTTTCTAATTTGAGTCAAACGACTTCGGTTCTAATAACGCTGGTATTCACTACTATAAAATTCTAGATAACCTGAAATGATATTAACCGTGGCGAAACCGTTATTTCATAATATTTTCAATTAATAAAAAATCAATATATAATCAATAATCGTAAATTTTCAATCGTAGGTTTCTAGGCAAAGTTTTCTCCATCTTCGTGTTTTACATCGTACATCTTGGCTGGGAAACGTGAGCATGCTTACCAAAACTGTTATGTTAAAAGATAACAAAACACATCAAAAGTCTTTTAAATATTGATTTCTCTAACAAAAATCATCAGAAAACAAGCTTTCATGTGTTTTTCACAACTTGTCTCGTCTCGTGTATGTAATCCAGTCAATGGTATTTCCAGAAGTATTCTGACATATTTTATAACACAACTTGTGTAAACTTCTGCTCACCATCACTTGCAGAACACTCGGAGGTGTTTTAATAGACATTTACTATATATATTAAATTCATGGAATATATGTCTAACGGTACGCTGTAATTAAGATAGTTTGTCATCAAATGCACCGTAGAGAACTAATATTGTTTTCACAATTTGCGCGGTACAGAGAATCCGCGAATAAAACCCAGCAATAAACGTTCAATGACCTTTGCTGTTAATAGGACGTTAAAACAAAAGATTACCAATTCGAACCAAGAATCATTTGTCCTGTAATACTACATATACAATACCCTCTAAACCGGAAATAAAATCCATTTCTCGTAAATTAACATTAAATATGTCTGAAATAAAACCTGACAGCTTACACTTCTAGTAAAACAACACAACATAACCAACACTCTCTCAACCGGAAATAAATCCCGACGGCGTACACCTCTAGTAAAGCAACATTCTCCAAACCGGAAGAAAGATCGACCCGACAGAATACATCTCTGGTAAAGTAAAACAACAAACCAAATTCTCTCTAAACCGGAAACAGGACCCGACGGTGTACATATCTGATAAGGTAACACTACATACCAAAGTATACTCTTTAAACCGTGTAAAACACTTCGACAAATCTCTAGTTAAAAAAACCCCATACTAACTGATCTCTAAACCGGAAGTCAAACCCGCCTGCGTACGACTCCAATAAAGTAACATTATATTCCAAATGCTGTCTTAACTGGAAATAAAACTAGACGGCATACCGTTCTAATAAAAATTACATTACCCACCCCATACATTTTTAAAACGATTACACTGTGTCAAAAATACGTTCACTATGCGCTATTATATCATTGATATATATGTTTAATTTAAGCAAGATGGCTAACCATCATAATCAAAAACATACATTTAACCCTAAAAACGTAAATATCCAAAATAATATTACGAGAAATTAAATCTGTTAGTATTTTCATCCTCGCTAATACCTTTCGTCACAACTCCCTATTAACGAAAGGAAACGAAGCAGCGTACAATTTAACGAGAAAATCGCCAGACGTATGGTATACATGACGCCAATAGGACACATCAAGGCAGTGAGTCAGGTGTTTGTCGTGCCATTTTACAGCAAAACACCGTATTGACTTGAAGGTCGAAGGTAATAACGGCTTGCTGGTTTAGGTTCAGCCCGTTTCGTATATAAATCACCATTTCCAATAACTAGCAAGGTGATATGAAACGGGAGCCGACTAGAGGCCGCGTAATGTGTCAAGTCAACGACTATTTACATCGAGTAAGTTAAGAAGCCGGTTGATGATGATACCGTGGAGATATACACCGGTGTTGGTAATCGATTCCAGGAGTTCCAGGAACCGCAGTGATACACAGGACAAGCCCCTACCAAAGTTTGGCGCACCAACTTCAAGAGGTGCCAGCTATAGCTCTAGCGCTCCGGAGTACCAACATCATAGACAGTTTGGACACTGGTGAACGCGCATCCCATCCGTCGCAATGGGATACTGTGGAGCACGTGCTGTGATTTGGGGGACTATAGAGAAAACGGACACATCTAGCATTCTGTTTTCGTCTCAGCAACCAGTAACAGATAAACTTGATACAGCTGCTGCATCGATTGATTGACACCTTCCGTTACTGGACCAATTCGTTTTTGATAGAGCGTTCTTCACAAGTTAAAAGCTAAGCAGGGGGTCACGAAATTACCGAGTTTTGTAAATCTGTCTGATGCAAAGTGAGAATTACAGTCATTTGCTTGTATCATTTTCAATATCGCTCAACAACGTGTCAGATTCGAACGTTTTGTAAGACATTTTGGTAATTTTGAGATCAATGGAATAGTTTTAGGATGGTGGTAAGAAAAGGCGTTCTTCTTTCGTAACATCAATCGATGGTTCGCTGACATTCCCCTTGTAATCAGCCTGTTGCTTATGGAATATTTATCGATATGTCTAACAGTAGGAAAACCAGTCATGTTTTTATTGCATAACAACAATGCGTTGATGAATTAACTGGATCACAAATGTCTAGTATCGCCGATCTCTCAGGACCTCTGGAATTAGCCTCTCTTCCGCGGTGTCGTTAATGACGCATGTTCGACCTTGTGGGGCAGGCCAGGAGATACATTGGATCTATAGGCTAATAACATTTCGCATATAGACAATGGTAAATGGAATGAATACACACTGCCATCCTCCGGTAGTAGTTTGATAAATAAAACCGTTCAGGGGACATATATATATATCTATACATAACAATTTACAAATTTTAAATGGATTTTATTCAATTTCCTCAGCCAGCTTAACGTTAACCTCACTAGGATTTAGTCCCTAGAGTACCGAAACACAGGTACGGTACCAGGCGCGTTTGACGTGAATTCTTGGCACAAAGTTTGCGCCCGTGTAGACTCTAACTTCGGACGTGCATTCCCGGTCAAAGGTGTACCATTCTGCACTTGCATTTCAGGAAGAATTGTGTAATATGGGCTTAAAGGAACAATGGGAGAAGACAAAAGCCGAGGTACAGACAAAGGGTTTCTGGAAGGGTGTAAGATGTGAGTTTCTTGGAACTCTTTTGTACGTTGTGTTCGGTTGTGGGGCCGCCATTCTCCGGAATCACCCTATCGAAGCTGACTACTACTATTCGTACGAAACTAAGACTGCTGTTTCTTTCGGACTGTCCGAATCTGTTCTTGTCCAGTCCTTTGGCCACGGAAGTGGCGGTCATTTTAATCCCTCTATCACAATCGCCATGCTGTGTGCACGCTACATAACCATCGTGAAGGCCTTGACCTATCTTCTGGTCCAGATGATCGGGGCATTGGCAGGGGCCGGAATCTTGTACGGACTGACCCCGGCCAAGTACCAAGGGACCCTCGGGGTGACAGTGCCACACAGAGACGTCGATAAGGGGCAGGCCTTCGGGTTCGAATTTCTAGCTACCTTCGTCGTGGTGTTTTGTTATTTTTCTACACTGGAACTTAAAAAGGATGTACTTGTGCCGAAGGCGCTCACGTGCGGACTAGCAGTGTGCCTTTCTCAGATATTTGCAGTAGGTATACTTTTTTCTCTTTCATTATAATCTGTAGCAATTTGGAAATTAACTGAAGATTACTAAAATTGAGCTTTTTTATTTTTTTATTTATTTAAGGTAAATATCTGTAAGTATTGTATGTTTACACCAGTGGTACAAACGAACACGTTTAAATGTTTGCGAAACATCAAGTATCTTGTTGCAGCGACTAATTTGTAAAAAGCCTGATTAAGTTAAAGATTCGTTAACGCAAACTTTAATTATGCGATTGAGAAATAACTGAAATTTTACCAATACGTTTTGTTTCCTGTTTTTAGATGATCTATTTGAATCCGTATTCTTATAATTAAGATTTGAACTTTATTTATTTATTTATTCCAAAAAGTTGTATTTGTCGTTGAGCTGAACAGACATTTTGGTACAATATGTAATTAGTCATTACTTATGTTTCGGATCTTAATTATTATGTTCTGTATAAAGCATAACATTCGTTCTCAATTTCTTTGATTAAGGATCCCCGTACCACTGCCAAAAACTATATCTATAAGAACTGGAAATGAAAACTCGTTTACCGACATGACAATAATTTAAAAAATACATTTTTGAAAACAAACCCATACCTCGCAGAATCTTTTATGAAAAGATAATGAAGACGAAATACTGATCTTAAACAAATCTACAACAGTGTTCGGAGAATAAAATGCATTTAGGTCATGCTCGAATTTGAACCTATGACCTCCAATTTATGAATTAGAAATATAAACTTGTTTACCGACCTGACAATAGATTTAATAGGTCATTTCCAAATAGAAATACATACCGTACGGAACCCGTTTGAAAAAAAACCTGAAGATGAAAAATAGTTTTTAAAAAAAATCAACACTAGTGTTCTGAGAGTAAAATGCATTAAAGCCATGTTGGTATTCAAAACCCTGATCTGACAGTTACGGTTCGCACGGTGCCACAAACCAAATGACCTAAGTGATCAGCGGTAGATCCCTGGCCATTTCCCAGTACAGTTATTCAAGAGGATATTATTGCATGTAAAAAAAACAATGGAATTATCTTGTGTCTTTCCTGCATTAGAACAAAGATGCTTAAAGGACACCTTAAAGCGAAGACTACATTTGTAAATACCTTAAATGTTTTGAATACATTTCTAAACGAAATGTAATCACTGCATCTCTCCGTCGAAATGCTGTCTGTTATCACTTTGGTGAAACAAAACACATTATAAATACCCTACATAACTACCGTTAACTGTTACTGTGTACATCACTGCTCCCGCTAATCAAACGATGTTCAGCGACTTTTACGACAATCTCCATACCGTCCGATCGCCCGAGTGTAACAAGGACTTTCGTCGATAACCCAAGATAGTAGTTTGCTGTTTAGACCTCGGCTCAAAGTTTGTCTTAAATGTTTCCGATCCAATGTGGGATCGTGTCAAAACCATTAACCCAAAAAACATTGTATTGACCGTATTCCCATGTAGAATGTACTGTGGCGTTGTTTCATATATCCAACGAAGAAGAGTTCCAATATTTTTCGGTTGTTCATGGTTAAATCCTTTTTTTTCAACCAGAACAAATTAATTCGATCTACGGATATCTTAATTATAAAGCAGGACGTTTTCTGAACAAATTACTGGGAATAATTTCAAAATGTTTTGTTAAATTTCTTACAATGGATATAGAAGGAGAAATTACACAAAATAACAGGAAAATAACTTTTCAATGCCGGGAGATAGCGGAAAATGTGTGGGCTGTACGCCTTAATTAACATATAGTCATAAATCCGATGAGTGTAATTACTGTTTAAGTATGAAGACTAGAACACAATTTTCTAACTTTATAACTCAAAACAAGGTGTATTGGGAATCAAAATGATATCTGAAATCGGTAAAATGAAATACGTGTACATTTCAATGTGATTTTCATTCGAGACCAAATCCAATGTTGCAGAAACACACTTCAGTAAATCCAACAGTGTGAATTTATATCTAAAAAGAGATATATGCAAATATTTATAAAGATAAAAAACACCAAATTAATGAGTATCAGTCTTTTGATTTAAACACATTTTATGCCGTTAATAGGTAAAAGTTATTTCAAAGGCCCGCTCTACAAAAGATTTACATAAATTGAAAAATAGCATTAAATGAATTACTACATAAACAAAGCGAAAGAACAAAAGGAAATAAAAAGGAAACACCACATGTTATGTAAATGTAATATACAAAAGACTTCAAAAGAAATTACAATATTACGAAAGATAAAAGATTGAATGAAAAGTGAAATTTACGATCACTTTTCAAAACTTTTCCTCGATTTTGATGCAATTGCACATTTCAGAAATATTGATTTCAAAAGGCCTTCGTTGTGCCGACCTCCTCAATACTATACAAGATACGTGTAGGCCACATACATGTGTGATTACACCTTTCAAATTTTATAATAGTTACTGTTTGACAAAAATGAATTATATTTACCTTGCACCATACCGCTGTTTCGTCCTTCTAGGTTCTAGGACTCATCGGCGATGCCCAGGTCCTAAACGTGGGAATTCAAACTTGTCTTAACTCCTGTTGAAACAGAAAAGTAGGTGATTCAATTCTTTTAATAGTGTGAATTTCAAAAAATAAGACAGCTGGTTAATTTAAAATTACTCGAAGTAATACTGTTCTCCTCCCAAAACTTCATATAGTCGGTTGATCGCAACGATAATAATCACGCGCAATGGAGGAACATTTAAAGAAATGTTTTAAACGTTCAACATTTTTGTTTACATTACTTTTTGAATAATTTATATTAATAAACTTTATCTATTTCATTTTCAATGATTTTGAAACAAATTCAATCACTCTTGTTGTCCCGGATGTAAGCGCGGATGGGGTCTTAATGCGAGTGAAAACCGGAGTACCCACAGAAAACCCATGTAAACGGGCAGGTGACCCCATGCCTTTTCACGTCCAATCAGGGAGTCGAACCCCGGTCGTCTTAATAAAAGTCGATTTCACTTTCCACTGCTTGTTTTGTTTTTGTATTGTTTAACGGCCCATCGACAATGTAAGTCATGTAGGGCCAACAATACTCTAAAAAGAGACATTCGCTTTCCACTGCACCACCCGACTGCCCGCTTGGAGTTGATTCAGCATATATCCTTAAAGTTTAGAAATAATGAACAAACAACATTATGTATTGTAATAATCATTACTCAAAAATTAGTTTAAACAGTATGCTATTCAATATATGGCAGTGACAAAATAATAATACAAAATCAATAAAGAGGATTCGAAAACAAGTACATAAGTACTTATATTGATTCGTCTCCTTCAAATAAACCTGGCAGTAGGACGGCACTCATACATATTTTGATAGTATAACAGACAAAGAGAAGAAGAAGAAATCAGGGAGGGGAGGATGGAAGGGGTGCATCAGGAAATGAAAGAAAGTGGTTATGAAGAGAATAACGAGAAGAACTGCATTACTTAATTGAATGTGGTTGGAATGTGATTCATGAAAAGGTAACCCTAATGAGCTCTATATAAGGATGCATTAAATACATGTACATTGGACATCTCTAAATTGCCTTACGTTGATTCCAAAGAAAAAGTTTACTGATATCCTGCAAAATGCAAGAGTGTTGTAGTCTGTATTAATTCCAGTATCAACAAAACTCATTTAGTCTAAATATCATACTGGCATGTCACAAGTGTTGTCGAACAACATAGGTTTCAAAGTTAATGTACATTGTTTAAACAAACGCAAAAAATACATAAAAATAAAATAAAATGAATAAATCTTGCACTAAAATCGTTTCTACTTACAGATACATTTTTCGACAGAGTCAAACATATTTAAGTTATATTGATCTGGCATATCAGGATTTCCATACAGCAGCAGATTTAAATTATACCCATGAGGAAGATTTCTAAAACATTGTAATCTTAATTGTTCGAAGTTAGGACAAAAGAGGAGAAAGTATTCAGTAGTTTCAGCAGAACGATTACAAGAACACATCGGACTTTCAACTAAGTTACGTAAAAATAAGGGATTTTTAAGGGAACTACAGTTCATCCACAGTCGAGCGTGGTGAATTTGGCCAAATCTACCTTTGCAGTAGTAGTAATAGGACGGAACACGATTACTGTGATGATAGTCGACATTCACGGACTTCTTAAGGTTAGTGAGTGATGGGTTATGCTTAACGTCGTCCGGAAGAGCATTCCATAAGTCAACAGAGGAAGGTAGAAAAGAATCTTTATAGAGTTTAGTACGACATCTGATTTGACAGAATTTATTCGCGTTTCTAGTATCGTGAGAATGAATATCAGAACGAGAGCGGGAAGTATGTTAGTTAAATAGGAGGGACACTGACCATGAACAATCTTATGAAGTCGTGTTATTTTATGTTTTCGTCTTCTTTCAATAAGACGGTCCCAACTAGTTTCTAAATACAATCTCTCACGACTTGTTAATTTAGTAGCCCCAATTACATTCCTGGCTGCTTCGAGTTGAATATTTTCTAACAGTTGGCTTTGGCCTATCGTTATATTGTCCCATATCACGTCACCATATTCTTACAAATTTAAAGGTCGAATAAAAGTAAAATAAATAGTTTGAAGCGTTTTTCTGTCAATAATAAATTTCAGTTATCTTAAAAGGCCTATTTTTTGAAGCTTTGTAAATTATATACTGAACATGATCAGTCCACCCTCCATTAGACGAAATAAAGACAACAAGGTGTGTGTGGCATGTTACCACTGTTAGTGGGTTGTAGTTCATAGACAAAAGGGGATGAAGTAAATTTCAAAAATGGTATGACATTCGCGTTGTGACATATTTGTTTACAAAGTTATGAGGCATTTAGTGTGACTATCGCAGGTCGGTGGTTTTTCCCTGGAAACTCCGGTTTTCCTCCACCGCCAAAACCTGGTACGTCCTTAAATGACCCTAGCTGTTAATAGGACGCAAAACACAAACAAACAAGCAATTCAGCGTTAGCCCATCATTCAT